TGTAGAAAAAGTTAAGTTTCACATTAAATTTCACCTTTGTATTTGAAGGGAAGATTCTTTAAACATATTTTTTTAAGTGCAATAGAACAAAGTGAAGGAAAATTTATTTTCTCTATGTAGGTTTTATAGACACAAAATTACTTATGCAACATGTATTAAATTCTAGAGTTTTATTCTAAATGTCACACAAATTATGAAAACCCTTAATAAAATGATGAATAAAGACCATTAAAAGGTGATACAGAATTGTGAATCAGCTGGAAACTAAATTTTGTTTAGTAAGTCCTTTGTAAGACACCGAGTTTTCAGAAATATTTCCTGTTATGTTCTCTCAGCAACTTCTTCGTGCAAGGGAGGTAATTTTAAGCTAAAATTTTACCAAGTTCTGTTAAATCAGTTGAGAAAAGTCAATTTTGAAAACATTGCACTAGTGAACTTTTTGGGAAAATGTATTTAATTCCATTTACCTTATAAGGAGTCTGAAATATTCTGGGGCAGAAGTTAATTCTTGTTTAAAAAAACCTCAGTTTCTGTTATTACCAATTTACTTCTATCTATTTTAGTTTGTCAATGAAGTTAAATTCTGCATTTTCACTCAAGAACTGGAAAAATGTATTTTTTCTAAGCAAAACCAGCCTAACACTGTCTCCTGTACAAGATGGACTGATTCTTATGTAGCTTTCCAAAACGCCTTCAATTTAATTCAATTTTGTTGCGTTTTCAGATGTTGTGTTACTTCCTAAAGAGGACATTTTTCCCACTGACTAGCAGGAAGGGAACAAAACCATACTTTTAATATCTTCTCAATCCGTAACACTATATTTGTGCAGATTATTGACCTGAATTTAGTGAACATATACATAAAAAGACAATAGGGACAGCACTGAGAAAACAGGTTATTATGAGTGGCTGATGATTTCTGCATTTATTGGTCATTCAAGTTACTAGCCCTGATCTAATTTGGTGTGGTTATCCCTGGGCATGAGAGGTAATTATGGTCTAACATAGCATGTCAGTATAATTTAATTGTACGAACAACAAGCATACAGAAGCTGAACAGGATCCATGACGGACTGACTGTTGTTAATACCTCCAGACTAACCAAACGGTGTCAGTATCATTGGCTTTACACAATGAAACAGCCCACATTTTGTACCAGCAGTAACAAATCTAGAGTTATTCCCATAAATAAACTAAATGACGGTGAAAAAGAAACCTTCCACTCTGGCCAGTGCCCGTTTGTAAACTTGCTGCTGTGAAGGAGCTGCAGGATCACCCCGTCCTCCTCCCCGCGCACCACTGCTGGGAGCAGCGTCTCCGAGCACTGCCCACCCCAGCCGAGGCAGCGCGTCCGGCTGCCCGAGGGCCGTAATTCCTCTAGAGTAGGACGGGCGAGCTGTGCCTACGCTCCGTCTGAGCGCCTGCCGTCCCTTGGCCCGAGCGGCAG